CAGTCTTAGCATAATTGAGTCTTTTCAAAGACACTTATGTAGATGCATATGACCCAAAGACAAATTACTCATTGGAGTTAGTTTTATCTTTTTAAGGGGTACAAGTAAAACAAACAAAAACATACATGAGTGATGATCAATGATAACATATATTTAAAAGCAAAATTCTGGTATTTTCAGTAATCACTTTTTATGGAAAAACTGCATATACTAGACAAGTGCTCTACCTCAGAGCTTCCTTCCAAGCTCTTGTTGATGCATTTTATAATTTTATCATTATTATTCATTTATGTGACATCATCTTACCCAAGGCTATGAATTTCTTGGTTTAAAGACCAGCCATGTCTTCATTATTTCTTTTATCTGCAGACTTGACCTCAGTATAGAACACATAGCAGATACTATGCGACTTGAGTCAGTGATTTGGTATTTGTTTATTAAAACGGTTTATATCTTCCTGCAATCCCAGGAAGATAATGGTTTGAGGCCAGCCCAGACAAAAAGTTAGCAAGACCCCCATCTCAACAAACAAGCCATGTGTTCCTAGCTGTAACTCCAGCTACACAAGAGATGTAGGCAGGAAGAGTACAGTCTGAGGCTGGTTAGGGAAAAAAGCATAAGACCATATCTGAAAAATAACTTAAAGCAAAAAGGGTTGGAGACATGGCTCAAGTGGTAGAGTGTTTGCTTAGCAAACACAAAGCCCTGAGCTCAAATCCCAATACCACCAAAAAATGGCATTAAATTAATGACAAAATAGTGATTAATTCACGCAATTACTAACAGGAAGAATCAAACAACAATTTTGTATCTAAATAGATGAGCATATTTCATTTTCTTTCCTTAAGCTTCCTTCAAAGCACAGTTAACCTCAAGTGACCTTGGTTGTGTGACACTTGTAGCACCCCTGAGGTCAGATTGAAAACCAACCTTAGGATCTGTGCCTAACATTCAACTATCAAATATTGCATAAATCAAGAATTTTAAGAAGATGGAAAAATGAATATGGGTTGAGTAAATGGCTATGATTTAACTTTTTCTTCAGGTGAAAAATCTTGATTAAAATATTATCCCTCAAGATAATAGAAATTATAAATCTATATAATCAATGGTAAGATAAAAATATATTGTTGACTAAAATATTATATATTTTTTTCTTCTGTTTGATAATTTTCAAACTGAAGTTGACATTTATGGTAGGGTAAAAATATATCATTGGCTAAAAATATTGTATATATTTTTTTCTGTTTGATAATTTTCTACCTGAAGTTGATAAAAGCTTCAGGACTCTGAATCCCAGGGTAGCACTGTTAAATGCTCTTGTGTTGAAGTTTGACTAGCACTCTACTTGAGTGATTACAAACTCTGAGCTAACTAGAGTTTACAGATATTTTCATCTGATTGCACTGTTGCCCACACTTACCTTTGAAGTGATTTTATTTGCATCTGATACCAGGCTATTAAGTATTCAGTTCTGTGCTCCATATTTACCAACTATAGACTTAATATTAATAAGAAATATTTTAAATTAAATATTCTCAAATACTTTCCTGAAATCAACTTCTAGTTACCATTTATTGCTATGGATTAACATTCTGTTTTTCATGGGCTATTTATTAGAAGTCTCACCAGAAATACATCATTTTTCCATAAATTTCTCACATATATTATCTATCTATTTAAATTTACAAGTTACAGTGGAAATTTTTATTTGAGTGACATTTACCTCTAGAAACTACTGAAAAAGGAATCTGCATATTTATCATGTAAAGCTCTTCTTTTTTAGATCAATTATGGTATTGTTATCATGGTATCAAAATATTGACAAGTAACAGCAACAAGCAAGACCAAAATGCACTCCATCTAGTGCTCACTCAGAACTGGTGCAGACCACTTTGACAAAGTTGATTTCCAAGTCCTGATTGATAATCCAGATGCCTACAGGAGGCAAGCAGATATTATAAAAGGGTGGGTGAGAGAAAAACCAACTCTATCATACTTTCTCTTTAGTTATGGAACTATGGTGCAAGCATATAGCCCAAAATAAACATAGATACCTAGGATGTAGACACCTGTATTTTAAATTTAGATTGGAAAGAAAATACAAGTTCCCTCTGATAAATGCCTCAGAAGTGGTGAGATTTATGGCAAAATACTTATCAGCATTAAACCTGATCACAAGCTTCAATTGATTGTTGCCATCCAAAAACATAGGACCTTCCATTTTTTAAAGAGAACCTGGTAATCTAGATTTATATATCATTTCAGTCCATTTTCTGTTCCTATCACAAAATGCATACAGCTGGATATTTTATGCAGAAAACATTTACTTAGCTCAAAATTTGAAGGTACAAAATCATGACAGAAGTAGGCTTGGTTCTGGTGAGTGGTTTCTTGCTATTTCAAGACAGGGTGGATGGCATCATGTCAGTGTGTGTAAGAGGGAGAGATCATATAGTAAGACAGGAAGCAGGAAAGATTCAGGGGCCAGGTGATTTAAAAAATTTTTTTAATAACAACTTGCTCTCATAGTAAGCAACTTGGTTCTCACTTCCAGAGGTGATGCCTGCAATAACCTGATTGCCTCATGGTAGACTTCCTCTCTTGAAAGTTCCACCATCTCTCCATGCCACCAAACTGGGGACCAAGCTTCTAGCACATTAGCCTTTGAAGACAGAACACTTTAACAATTAGATTTTAGGATGTCTTCCAGAAACATTCTGATGAGACTGGGATATAAAGCTGCTGGATGATTACTAGATTTGGTCTTCGTTGAAGAATGTTTTTATTCAACAATGGGCACTGTTCAAGATATTGAAGTTAAAGCTGTGAATAAGCAAACATATTTCCTTGTTCAGAGCTGTACATTAAATTGCTGTGCTTAACAGTCATCACGGAACAAGGCCACTTTTTGCAGGGATTGCACACTGAAATATTTGGCTGCAACTTCTCAGTGTTTGTCTTCATTCTTGAACTCCATACAGAATTTAAATTCATGGTTTATATTTCTTTGGCATATTTTTTTATTGTGGCTTTCTGCTGAATAGCTTTGGAGTGCTTAAACATAGCATTCCATTATAGACTTTGGAGTATAGGAAAGAATGAAACACTGAGATAGGGTCCCCACCCCCTTCTCTTTTACCACAGTCCTTCAGCTTGACAGCATCTTTCCTCATCTACACAGAGGAAATAAATAAAGACATAGAATAAAATTGGTCAGGATTCAGAATTCTTCAAACTGCTCAGAAAGGAGAGAGCAGAATGAAATGAAAGGAACCGCAAATCGCCATGTGGCCCACTTTCCTGTCTCATGCTTACTGTCTTCATTCTTCTTGAACAGTCACAGAGATCAGCCACAGTTCTTCCAATTGCACATGGGGCCCACAGGACCATCAGCTCCCTGACCTGATCTCCAGATGCCTTCTCAGTTGCTCCTGCTCCAAACTCCTGGTCTCCTGACTGTCCTTTGTCACATCATATGTGACTCCCCCTCCTTTCAGTTAGGTTGTTGTTCCTACAGGCTAAAATACATATGCACATTATTCACTTATTCACAACATGCAAATGTCTTTTCTAAATTGTTACTTTCTTAGTGAGACCTGCCTGATGTCTCACTGACAATTATACTCACCCTTTTCCTTGAACTGCCAATCAAGTTTACCGCCCCCCACCACAGTGGGGTTGAGGGTCTTTTAATATAATATGCAACACATTTATTAGTGTTTATTGCAATTATTCTTCTGCTACAATATAAGCACCTGGAGGGTAAGATCTTTGTCTTGTCTTATTTGCTAATATGATATAGCAGAGAAATTGTATGACAGATGTTGGATTTTGTTTGTTTATTTATTTATTTTTTTTGTGATACTAGGATTTTAACTCAGGGCCTCATACTTGCTAGGTAGATGCTCTACTGCTGGAGCCATTCTACTAGGACTGTTAATTTGTTTTGGAGACAGGGTTTCTCTGTGTAGACCAGGCTGGCTTTGAACTCATGCTCCTCCCACCTCAACCTCCATAGTGTTGTGATTGCATGTATGAACTATCATGAGCAGCAAAGACTGTTTTTGTTTTTAAGAGAAAGAATATTTTAAAGTAAAAGAAGATTTTTGAGTGAAAGAATATTGAACCACTTATGTCTGGGCATACTTCCCACAGCTTGCCATAATTGCCTATGGAAAGATTTCTTGCAGTGAATTATATTATGTGTGGGTTTATGATCTATTTTGCCTTTATTATTAGAAATTACAAAAACACATGTTAAGGACAAAGAGATATTTGTGTGTTTGATCTGAAAAACACATGCTATATGAAAAGAGATGTGTTTGGTCAAAAAGGAAATTACTTTGTAATTACTTTGCATAAGTAATTACAATAAAACTATAAAATGGCTCGAGGCAAAAGAAAAAGCAAAGAGTATAAGTAGACCTGTGCTAGGTCCTGGCTACACCATTTACTGTTCTCTGACATTGGGTTAGCTATTTATTAGCTCTGAGCCTCAGTTACCTTATCTTATAAATGAGATAACAGTATAGTAGAATATGTTTCATTTGCTCATAAGTGTACAACAATGTTTTTTTTCTTAATGTCTGTTTCTGTCAACAGTTAATCCAACTTATAACTAAATTTGTAATTATTTTAGATTCATTCTTTAAAATATAAGCTACACAGGGACAAACCTGTGCCTTTCTTTTGTAGTTTTGTGTCCCAACTCTAAATGTCATGTCACACATATATGTTGTAGGGTGAACTATTAAGCAAATTTAAGTCATATGATCATATGACATAATAATAGAAAATTTCTTTATAAAGTAGGTATGCTATTATGGTCACCATATAAACTATTAGCATCATCATTAAGTATGTGTTTCTTAAGCTTCTTTAATCCACTACAAAGGCGAGGAGGTAGTCACCTTCTAGAATTATTGGATTAATTTTTAAGGCAATTATTAGTAAAATAAAAAAGGACACACCTTGCTGATCTAATGGTTTTGTAACAGGTCTCTAAGCTGGCTGGTGTTTTTGTCAAACATGGCATCAAAAAAGGTGACACTGTGGTCATCTACATGCCCATGATCCCACAAGCAATGTATGCCATGCTGGCATGTGCAAGGATAGGAGCCATCCACAGTCTCATCTTCGGGGGATTTGCATCCAAAGAACTAAGTACTCGCATTGATCATGTGAAGGTAAGTGCTTTCTTTGGCATGAAAATCAAGTTGTAGTCATCTAGAGTACAGAAATATTAAGTAATGGAGGAATCATCCAAGGATCATCTTACTTCTTTGATTTTTCTTTCAAATTGGAAACTCACAATTTTACTATTCTTTTGGCATATATCTGTTAATTAGGCTTTTGTTTTTGAGTCAGTTCTGTGTAAAAGACATCTTGCTAGGTAATTTGAAGTATAATATAAAAGACAAGTGAAAGTAGATGCCTTTCAAATTATCTTGTCATATATTGGAGCTTATAAGACATACAAGAAAATAACTAATAACTAATTTATTCATTCAGCAAGCAAATTCAAACTCCCTCTGTGTACCTGCCCTTGGAACTGAATAATGAATAATGGTTATCATATAGGTAGACACATAGCTAGTATTAAAAACTACTTATTCCCCTGAATAAGGGTACAGCCTAGTGGTTAAGAAGGTGTTTGGAAGGATGCAACCACATGTTTGAATAGGGTATAATAACAGATTTCATAAATCTATTGTGAAATATTGAGATTGAATTTATAACACCAGCACCAGAATCTGGCATATATCACTCACTTAAAGATATAGGAAATTATTATTCTATGAGCTTAGCAGGGGTCAGCAAGCATTCTTCTCTAAGTGACCACAAAGTAAATGTTATAGACATTATGCGTTACCTTGTCTCTGTTGCAATCATCTCTGCTGTTTTAACACAAAAGCAGCCATAGACAGTGCATAAAGGATTTAGCATGTCTGTGTCCCAAAAAACTTTACAGAAATTGTTTGTAGACCCTAATTTAGAGGAAGAACCATTTTCTTTTAGTTTGAGTGGCTGAAGCCACTCGTGAGAAAGGAGAGGTTTGAATAAGATCTTGATTAAGATTCAGCTAGTTAAGGAGAATGACAAAGTGAGATCCAAACACAGAATGAAAAATAGGAATCAAGCTTTAGAGGCAGGAAGGGTGAAAGTCATTTGGAAGACAGTAGGTAGATAGCTATGACAGAAAAGGAGAAAAGGTGAATGTGCAAAGGAGGGTTTTGTATGAAGTCTATAGAAACCGGTGGAAGTTTGTTGAGCAAGTGAGAGCCATGGTTTAAGCAATGAGAAAAGAGAAGAAGAGGCAATGTGATAAGAGCAAAGGAGGGTCCGGAAGCTGAAGTAAGAACCTTTGTTGATAAGTGATCTGTTTATGAAACAATGGGAAATATGAAGGAAAAAATGTCAGTGAGAAGTGATTATATGAGTAAGAGATGGCTGATCTTTAAATTTCACCAGTCTAAGGAGAGGGTAAAACCTTTTCTTTCCTGCCTTCTTTTTTCTTTCTTCTCTCTCTCTCTTTCTTCTTCTCTTTCTGTCTCTCTTTTTCTGCTTTCTTCTTTCCTCTTTTTTCCAGTACTAGGGATTGAACTCAGGGTCTAATGCTTGCTAGGCAGGCACTCTACCACTTATGTCACATTCCAGCCCTGAGACATTCTTAACATGTCAGGGAACTAGTATGTATTAAAAGTCTCCCAAGTGCTAGGAATAACAGGAGGCTTTGCATATCCTACTTCATTTGGAAATTGATCAGATATTAGAACCAGGAAGTTGTTTTGAGGACTAATCAACCTAAATACTTTTTTTCCTTTTCCTTTTTTAGACATGCTGAGTTCTTATGAAGGATGTAGTTTGTGCTTCTGAAAGAAATTTAGGCAGAATTATTAGTCATAGACCTGCAGAAGGAAGTGAGAAACTTCTGAGCTGTAGACTCAGATTTTTGAAACAGAAATCCTAAGCACAATTTAGACAAATGCATTGGATATAGAATTTCCTTTAAAATATTTTATAAGATATGGAGAAATTAATTCATGTACATAAAAATAACTTATACCACTGGAAAAATTTTCATTCATCACACACACACACACACACACACACAAAACTGGTTAAGGAATGTAGGCATAAATTCATATTCATATGGGTAGGTCAAATTTAAGGAGAGAAGATATAAAGATCTATATCTGAGGTATTTACTTAAAACTATTAGTTGAAGTATATGTTTTTGTGTCATGATTTTAATACAAATAGGCTAAAGAAAAAGATTTTATTTTATCAGGTATACATAGCAAGGATGTATTCTGACATGTCAATCTAGACCCCATGAGAACTCTAATGCAAGGTTATTAGTTGAAATGTGAAAGGGATTATTTTTCCAGAGGAAGAGTCTAATTTGACTCTATTAAATTATTATAGTTCTATATATTCTATATATGTTCTTAGTTGACGTGTAGCTTAATTTCATTTATTCAAAATTCTAATCTTAAAGAATGTTAAATACAGCCATTTTGTATTACCAATATTAAAATGTGAATTGTATTTAAATATCAACCTCTAAAATATAATAAAAGAAAACAAGAATAGTTTTTATTTTCTTTCCTCCCTCTCCCAATTTTCTTTCCTTTTAAAAGTCAGCTTGATACAGTGTGTGGAGAGTTTCTGCCTCTACCACTTATAAACCTGAAGCAAAGTATGTTACTGAACTGAGCTTCCTCTCCATGAATAGTGAATGATATTCAAAATCAAAAGGTGCTATGTATTTGTATATGTGGCATAGTATTAACCTTCCCTAGGTGAAATATATAGTAACCAGAAATCAGAATTCAAGAATAGATGCAATATTATCTCCTGAATAATTTATCATATGTCACCATTGCTTTGGATTTCGTGGTGAAGAAACAATAAACGTAGAAGAATGAAAATGTATTAAGTTCTACAAATTAATGAGAATTTTGGTTTAGTTGCACAATTCTTTATTGAGAGTTTATAGTATGGCAAACACTGTACAGGCATAGGAGATACAAAGATAAATGATACTCAAACTTGGCCTTGCAGAGTTTATTGCACAATGGTGGGGGTGAATGAACATATTGACTATGGCTCCATATTTGAGTAATGCCTAGAAAGTTGTCTGATAAAGAAGAGTGCTAAGTGTACCTTAAAGAGAGCGACAGGTCAGGCTTTGTGGCGCTTTAAACTTAAATTGTTTGGGAGCCCTTTTAAGAAAAATAATATGAAGTTACAAATTTAGTTTTGGTGAACATGAATATGTATTTAGAATGAGAAAAAAATGATTGGAGCTTTGAGTTTTGTCCTTTTGTGTTTTCTTTATGCATGTAAAAAAGATACTTACAAAGAAAACCTAAAGAATACTTCCTTGTTGCAGCCTGGCTAGCACTCTCCACTTAAGAAATGCTACAACTCCAGCAACAACTAGCTCCTCATTTGTGTGTGTGTGTGTGTGTGTACACATAGACATGCAACCCAGGATCCCTAAGGTTTGTATTCCACTGGATCATAACAAATTCACCTGGCTTAGTGAATTCCTTGCAAGATATTTTGTATAGTTCATATTTATAGGCCCAAAGCTTCATTGAGTGTATAATTTTGAATGGGTAAGTGAGATTTATGTGTAAGTTGTTAGGACTATAGTGCTTAAAAAGGGTTTATTGGTTTTCACACCATTTATTCAATAAAGAACTGAATCATTCAAACATTTCTCTAGAAATGTTAAATTGCCAGTCTGTACCTGAAATATTGTGATTGCCTTAATTAGAACTATTAAAGCTTTTCTCAATTAAGTGTTTTTTTTTTCATTTCAGCCCAAGGTGGTTGTTACAGCATCCTTTGGCATTGAACCTGGAAGGAGGGTAGAATACATACCGCTCATAGAGGAAGCACTAAGAACAGGACAACACAAACCAGAAAAAATTCTCATTTACAGTCGTCCAAATATGGTAACCTGAATGTGAATTTGGTTTTTGCTTATGGTAATGTGCCAAGGATAATTCTAGTCTTGACCATTTCAAGGAGACATTTTATTCATAAACTATTAAATACATACCCTAAATGTTATTGCCGTTTCTAGGGAAGAAAGATATGGATGATATGTCTTTAAGAAAAACAAGGTTAAAATAGGCTGAATGTAGTGGAAATATAGTTTGTACTCATGTATGAAAATGGAAAAAGGAGACCTGTTGAACTATTCCAGGAATGAGGAGTGGGGATAAAGGAGAATGATGGAGGGGTAAATTCAAATATGATATATTGTAAGAACTTGTAAATGTCACAATGTGCCCCAGATAAAGTAACTTGCCTGACTAGTGAGTGCCAGAGTCATGATTTGGATGTGAGCAGTTTTAGTCTGCCTGCATGTTTAATTCCTTCACTATACTGTCCACCTATTGGAGAGGTCTGCATAATTAGTATGCAAAATATCTTTTAAAAAATAGGAAAAGTGTTTAGACAAGAATCAGCCATTTTCAGGCAAATGAAACATGAATATTCTAAGCAGTTAAATTGTTCTATGAACTGTGATGGAAGAAAAAGCCATGTAATAGAGAAATTAATAGAATTTATAATACCTTTCCTACTAACTTTAACCTAATGATCACTTTATTTCTACACCCAAGCAAAAAATCTCCAGATATTTATGGTAGGGACAAGGTGGGTTTTAGCAGACTGAAAATTTTTTGGCAGAAGAAAAACTATGAGTACAAAGAATCAAGTGTAATTCTGTGGAATTCTTGAGAGGTTATCTGTCTGTGGCTCAACCAACTGCCTCACTCAATGATTCTAGTGTTCTAACTGTCTTGAAAAAGAATCTTAAGTTGCTTTCAAGTGACCAGGATCATAATTTTATGAAAGGCTTTGTGGCTGTTTATATCAAGAATGCAAAGTCAGCAACAAAAAAGGATTGGGGTAAGGGAAGTTGAGAGAATGACAGAAATGCATGCAAAGAAAAAAAGTGTGTTTACATGAGTGTGTGTGTGTGCTATTCACTCACATGTATGGATGTAAATAGATTTTAAGGAACCAATGATGGACTGGGTCCAATACAAAATACTTTTAAATACTTCTTATTTAATTCTCACAGACCAATGGACTAGATCTTGTTACTGGTTCCATTTTACTGATGAAGAAACTAAGTTATGAATCAAAGCCAAGCAATAAAGGTTTGAAAGCTGGTTCAATCACTTTTGACCAACAAGATGCATGCTATCTCTTCCACTCTATACACACATTGCATGTGCATATTAATGTTCTCTACTCATACTTTTAAAATGCATACTTTTCCCTACTTATCTCACCTGACTAGCTAACTTTCTGTCACTCTTTCCCTTTTCTCCAGAGCCTGTCCTCTATTATGATATGGATGAAGACTTTGAATGTCTCTTGTTCTTAATAGGACCCCTACTGTTTAGGCACTAATTAAACCCAATGGATTGGATTTGCTTTTAGTTTAGAGAGACACAGATTATGAGGCTGGGTGGTGCATGTCAACCAGGTTTGCATTTTTGCCAGAGGAGGTAAAAACTTGGCTCCTACTCCTAAGCCTCAGGCACGCAATGACAGAATCAAAGGATTATCATATCAGTAACCCTGTTATTCTCCTAATATTGCCTTTTAAGAATTATAACATCTAGGAAAGACATATCTGTGGAAGCAAATATATAAATATATGGGTATATATAAACTGAGTGTTGATTTTCTCTCTTTATTGTCAAATCTCCTTTACTCACATTTATATTTCTTGCCTTAAAGAATAATAATTATTCGTGCTAGTGCTCATTTCATAAGAGGTCTATAAAAATCATAGATCTGTAATTATTTTCACGATCACTCTTCACATTTTTCATTTTTCAGTGTGATGATTTTATAGCTCAATAATTTTGATATTAATGGTTTGATAATTTGAAATTAGTTGTTTTTATCCCATGCATAAAAATAAATAAAAACATGATTTGCTTATAGTTAAGCTATTTCTGTTTATTTAATTAATTGGTGGTACTGGGATTTGAACTTAGGGCTTCGTACTTGCTCTTAAAGCAGGCTTTCTACCATTTGAACAACAATTACAGTCCATTTTGCTCTGGTTATTTTGGAGATGGAGTTTTGTGAACTACTTGCCCAGGCTGGCCTTGAACCTTGGTCCTTCTGATCTCAGCCTCCTAAGTAGCTAGGATTATAGGCGTCAGCCACTGTCTCCTGGCTCTTTCTGTTTATTTAAATAGCTCAAGCCAGTAACTTTCAGAGTGAGGCTGGAGAAGCAACTGAGCCTGAAATTTCACCTTTCTGAAGGGTCTTCAATTCGGATTGTTACCTGCAAATGTGTTTATTCATACAGGCATTGTCTTTGTGATATTGTATTGAAGCATTAATTTGTAAATGTACATATTTAAATACATGACAGGTTTTTATAACCCTAGTTAATATATTAGGGATCCTGGAAAATAGAATTCATTTTCTTTTCTTAGTCTTTGCCTTTAGTCTCAACTCAAGACTCAAGTTGAAGTGAATGGTCACATATTATAGCTCTAGTTGTAGATCTCACTAACTTTACTGAGCCTTTTGAAGCTGGGTTCTGTTTGTGCTAATGTGTTCATTAATTATAAACTTTCTGATTTGTGATTTTGAACACAGCTAATGTTTCCGAAAATAACCAGATATTCAATCGAAATGACCTCTTTAGAGAAGTGTAACTTCTCACTAGAGTAACTTCTTCGTAAGCCGCTTGCCTTACTCTTCATCTATCTGGCCATTTGATGGCGCTGTTTTGAAGAGGTCTTAGTTTTCAAAATTGTTTTCCGTTCTTGAAAAAGCAAAAGCAGAATTTTCATCCATCCTGAACATGCTTGGACATCCTCTCATTTGGAAAGGTAGCTGCAGTATTTCTCCTAAATGCCCTCCTAGAAAGAGAAATTTTAATGGGTTAGTTTATATTTTGTCGTGAAGATAGAACTTCCAAAGTAAAAGAAATATAATGCAAAACAACAGAACTCAGTTTATAAAGTTACTAGTGTACAAGCATCTGTGGAAACATGGATCACTGAGTTAATTAAGCTCAGAGTATGATGAAAACATAAGTGAACCCAATTGAATTTCTTAAAGGTATCACTAGATTTGAGTAATACATGTTCTTTCTGTCAATTCTCTTGGAGCCAATACTAAACCAATGGATTTTTATCTTGACTCCCCACCTTGATCTGTTTAGTCATAAATTCAATGCTCAGTGCATTGAATTTGCATTGTAGATTTTTCATTCACACGCTCAGACCTGTATAGATGTAACTACTGTCTGTTATTCCTGTGGATTAATCTCCTTTTACAATGTTTTATTTCTTCATTCTTGCTGTGCAGGGGATGGTTCCTTTGGTGCCGGGTCGTGATCTTGATTGGGAAGAAGAAATGGCAAAAGCCCAATCACAAGACTGCGTTCCTGTCCTCTCAGAACATCCACTGTATATTCTATACACATCTGGAACAACAGGGCTGCCTAAGGTACTTTCTCTTAAGGATAACTCCACAACAGCAGATTTCCTCTGCGGGAAGACTGTCTGATCACTGGCTGAAAATGTTTGCAGACTGTTGGTACCTTGATTTTTAGGCATAACTACTTTGTATCTTAAAGGAATTTTGTCCTAAACTCAACATATAGAACAATGTTTATCACATTTAATACCAAATGATTTTTCCTCATTTATTCAAAATTCTTTTCAAATATCATCAATATACAGTGCTTTAGTAAGCTAGTAAAGAAGATCTTCAACAGCTTAAAATATAAGGTGCACAAAAGATGCTTTTGCAAGACAAATTTAAAGGCATCAGTATTCACAAATGTATCAGGTATTAACAAATTCCACATTTTCCTGGTACCTCCAAATAATATTCTTTCTCCAGACAACTTCATAAAGGCTTATCATATCATCTTTCTTGCTTATCTTCATTAGAGTGTTCAATATTCATTGAATCATGGAATTTTAGTGTCCTCAATCCATGAGGACAGAGGTCTCTTTATTATTAGGTCTCTGCAGCATCAGAGTTCTGAAAATGTAATCTTTGAATAATGATAAAGTAGTGTTTAATGTTAAACCAAATTTTAAAAAAGGAAATTTAAGACATTCCATATACAACTCACTTATGAAAAGGAAACATTTGGTAGAGGACTACAAAGTTGTCTCTGAGGACAAAGACCATATTTTCTACACTTTGTTCTATTATTATGTTTTATAAGTAGTTGGTACTTACAAGTTGGTACTTGTAAGTTTTGTGAATGCAAAATTAAATAAATAGATATATGTATACATATGTGTCATTATTAAATTGAAGTGATGATTTTTTAACAACTCTAGTCATCTAAAAAATGAATATTTCTTCATATTGAAGAAGTCCAATTGATATACTGGACACAATTTTCACCCTTCATTTTTTTTTTGTAATTTACCAGCCACATGCACATTTGGCTATAAAATAAACAGAACTCATCAAAGTTATATCCTAATATGAGAGTATCAACATGAGAGAAAATCCCAGACCCTGAAAATGTAGTATAAAGCAATCAAATTTAAAAGACAAAAACAAAAAAAAAGTACTTTAGATTTTTAAAAGCCTTTTAAAAACATCTGTGCCAGCTCAAAATTTTAGATCACTCTGAAATTCACTCTGATGTGGATTAGAATCTGTATAAGAGGAGCAGAAGAAGAGCTTGTTTACAACACAAAGCTGACTCAGCCAGGTAGATGAAATAAAAGCAATGTAAACACTACATAGAACATTAACTTTGGAAGAGGGTGGTTCCAAATAAGGAAAGATCCTAGCTAAACCAGGTTTTCTCTGAGTCAAGAAGTTTTTGTTTTGTTTTGGCAGTACTGGGATTTGAACTTAGGGCCTCATGTGTGCTAGGTAGGTGCTCTATCCCTTGAGCCACACATCCCCAGCACCATTTTGGTTTAGTTATTCTTGGGATAAGATTACCCTTTTGCCAGGGGTGAGTTTTAGACCAGGATTCTCACCCTATGCCCCCTGTGTAGCTGGGGCCACAGGCATGAGCTACCACACCCCACCCTAGAAATTCTTTTTCGGTTCCTTTCAAACTGAAGTGCCCAAACTGAAGACTTTGATATTTCTATCATCTTCTATTATTTTTGTACTAAGATGAAGAATCTTCCTAAAGATGATTTACTTCAATAAATTGGAGAAGGATTTGTTTAGAGATTTTTCTAGTCCTATGGAACTTAGCTGAATTCAATGTATATGTTCTTGGGATTACTTTGCTAGAACAGACAAAGCTATGAAGAAGCCACAGTTCTTCTAATCTAGCAGGGTGGAAATATACATGAACACAGGAAACTCAAGACAGATTGTAATCCACTTGTAGGAAAGATAGCTGACGGCACACAAGGGAAGCAAACATTATTTTTCAAGGCTGCTTAATTTGGGAGTTTACTTAGGATGGAACATTTAATAGGAAGGAATCAGATTTGATTTCAGTTGGGAAGTGAGACAGAGAAAGAGTGCATGACTTTGAACCTGATAACATAGGAGTGTGGTTTTGGATATTTACTAAAATAGCAACAGAGATGGATGGTTTGGGGCTAGGGAAAACAGGAGTTTTTGAATGAACATATTAAGTATGATATGTTCTTGGGAAGGTAACTGCCCAGTCAGCAGTTGGAAATGAGAGTCGGAGTCCTCCAAAGTACACTGGTCTGAGGATAGACCCTCGTGAACCACCATTGTGAAGAGTTGGGATTTAAGTCATAGGAGTTTGTTGAGTTTGTAAAGCACGATGTTCAGAATGACAAGATAAGGTAGTCATCTCCGTTGCTCAGACATACTTTTCTTCTCTCCAGTGGACTTTAGGATTGCAACTGCTTCAGAATTACATATTTCCAACAGATCTGTATGCCACTTCTTTTAATCTTTTACACATTCTTGTTGATTTTATAAAATAAATTTTATACTTTGTTTGATTCCTCTGGCACTGACCATAAAATTGACATCATGGATCCTCAGGATATTTGTAAAATAATCTTTCACTCTTCTAGTTAATTGGCACCTTGGACTTCATTTTATTCATACAATCCTCACTTCATTTTTGTAGGTGTAATCAGGATTAATAGTATCTGAAATTTTAATGTTGACATATCCAGGAGAGAAGTAGAGGAGATTAGCATGAGTAATGAATCATTTAGATATAAATGTCATGTCATCATGCAGTTTGTTTTCTCCATCTTTGATCTTCATGAGGAAAAATATATTCCTAATATTGTAAATCCATAAAAATATTCTTTTTAAAAGTGGTATTTCTTAAAGGGACATATAAAACACACATGAGGTAGTCTGTTCTTTGGTTGGCATTTGCAGACATATTTGCATCTCTGTATCTGCCAACCCTGGAGTTTTCTGGTTGCTGTGTAGCAGGTTAATCTGTTAACTGCTGCAGATATTCCAGCAACCACAGATGAGCTACTTTGCATACATTTTTGTTTTGTTCTGTGCTTCTGTCCTGTTTGGTTTTGGTGAATCTAATCAAAATAGTTTGAAGTACTATGCACACACAAAATACCCCTTATTCGGATTGGGTATTCTTTTGGAAGTAGGAGATTTAGTGCTGATTGTATTATCTTCTTCCAGTTTGATATCATGGAGGGACAGTGATAACAAAAAATAAAATAACGTAAGGTTCAGTGCCAGATAATAACAGGGATAGAATTGAAAGGAAGGCATGACAGGAAGGTGATTAATAAAGCCTTTGTTCTTTTGTGCATTTACACAACTTCTGTAACTTTTGTTTCTTTTCCTTTGAGGACTGATTCATATTCCCTGCCATAGGGGGAAACGTGAGAAAAAGTAACATTAAAAACTGTGAACTTTATTTTTTTTATCTCTGGTACAATTCTGTCAGTTAAAATACTGAACTTTCTACATCTTTGCTCCTTATCTCATTCTTTAGATCAATAAAAAATTACACAATTGCTAAAGTGTCTTCCATAGAGATAGTTTCTAAGTCATCAAAATTCTGTAGCAAGAACTTTTATATTTGATGAAATCTCCCAAATGGGAACATTCCATTTCTTCTGCAATGATTCTCTAAGTTCTACAAATTCCAAGGGTTCTCCTGAACAAAGAGTATTTTTAACAGAATTATATGGATCACACACTTGTGTTTATTCACTCCATCATCCCTTCATTTAGTTAGTCAACAAATGGACTAAATGCCTGTTCTATGCCAGATAGTGCTGAAGACACAAGGCCTTCTTCTACTTGCAGTCTGGGTGGACGAGAAGGAGTAGCACTAGTTCCTGATGTCAGTGCTCTGTGGAAAAAGACAGAGACTTGCAATATACAATAAATAGGATGGGGGACAACTTCCCAGGTGAAGGGGATTTTTGTAATTTCTTACATGCTTGCATGAAAAAGTAGGAGCCAATAAGGTTCAGAAAAGGAATGGAGACTCATTCTAGAAAGAAGTGGAGAGCCAGGCACCAGTGGCTCACACTTGTAACCCTAGCTACTCAGGAGGCAGAGATCAGGAGGATTTCAGTTCAAGACCAGCCTGGACAAATAGTTCATGAGACTTATCTCAAAAAAAAACCTCATCACAAAAAAGGGTTGGTGGAATGGTTCATGGTTTAGGCCCTGAGTTCAAACCCCAGTCCACAAAAAACTAAAAAGAGAGAGAAAAGAAAGGAGTGGAGAAATGGAGACTCATTCTAGAAAGAGGGGATAACATGGGTGAAGCCACGAACAGAACAAGTGCTAAACTTTTAAAGGAAATCAGAGCTACTGCTTTTATTTCTCAGTTCTCTGACTCAAACTATCATTTAGTGATGAATTTCTTTTCTTAACTTCAATATGTATTTCCTGTTTGTTTTTTTCTCAACTTGTTCAGTTGAAATACACACAAAACACACATGCATATATACATATACATGCATATTTGCACACATTTTCATGTATATGAATAAATATGCATTTTGTATATGTAAATAAATGTATATATGAGCCATTATTACAGAGTAAATGATAGAGGGCTTGACTTAGGAAGCATTATGTTTTATTATGTACTCCAAACTTGTTTTGCCTCAGTATTTTGAGATTTGCCTTCCAGATTTTTATAGGTCAATTTAAAGACACACATAACACATTTTGAGAATGAAGATCTTAAGCTCTTAATATTATCACACATTTCAGTTTTCCTTCTTCTTCCCCATTAATGCTTATTGTTCCAATTGTATTTTACTGTTACTAAGAAACCACACACACTTCTTATCTATATGTTTTCTCTCTTAGCTCAAATGGTCCAAATTTATGGTATTTTGTGGCTTTTCTTGTCTTCAAAAGTAGCTAGCTCAGTAAGCTGGAATTTTTAAAAGACTCTCTGTGATGATTCTGTGGTTCTATTCCTGAGTAGCTAGTGGCCACCTGTGTTTTTACTTGCTGAGAGTGAATTTGTTAAATGCTACATACATTCTACGTGGTCAACCCCCCCCCTCAAACACCTTCTTTCTATTCTGATATAGAATTCAGATTCATGTCTTCATTTAGGGCACAGAGTGTTATTCTCACTTGGATATTTTTTCAGTTCTCCAGATTTTGAGGATTATGGCTGAACCTACAAATGTTTAAACCCAGAATAATGTATTGGCAGAGTACAAGGCTTTTCTGAGAATATATTGGAATGCTTAATGCAAGATAAGTAGAGTATAAGTACTGACAGAAAGTAATAACAGAGATTTATAAAACTAAAATCCATCAAGCTTGTGTGTTAAGGGTAAGCATTATTATTGAATAAGCATTTTTATCTATGCACAATATTTCAGGCATACTTAAGAAGAGCCCTTTTATAGAGCCAAGTGTGGGGCACATGCCTATTGTCAAAACTACTTGGAGGCAGAGGTAGGAATATTGGTTGAGGTCAGGAATTCTAGTCCACCCTGGGTAACAAGGGAGAGCCTGACTCATATATATATATATATATATATATATATATATATATATATATATATATATATATAAACTATATATATACATATAGTTTCTGAATAAGTTTTCTTACTTAGAATACAAAGATTTTATTTTTTAGACACAATTTATGTATTTTCAGACTGATAATCGCTTCTCCTTTGCAGTTATCGCTGCCTGGAAAATATGATTACAAACAAGAAACAAATACTTTATCATCTTATTTTATTTACAAATTATTGTTTGTGGTAATCTCTTTTAAAACTCAATTTTTTTTTAACTTTTGAACTTTTCATAAAATATCTACATGGAGAAGATGACACTGTTAAGTTCTTTTTGTATACACCATATCAAATACTTAAAAAATTTAAAACAGTATCACCTGAATATTAAGGAGGCCAGACCAAATTGCAGATCTAAAGTTTAGATTAATGAATGATAAACTGATGCTTAACTAAATTTTTATACTCATCTTTTAAAAAGTAAAGTGAGGATTAAACTTCAGTGAAAGCAGAAGTTATAGCTTTTCTCTTTCCTTCAGCTACATTTAAATTATTTTTAAGAGAATCTTTGATGGTTACTTCTAATTGTTTTGATAAGGAGGCCAGACCAAATTGCAGATCTAAAGTTTAGATTAATGAATGATAAACTGATGCTTAAATAAATTTTTATACTCATCTTTTAAAAAGTAAAGTGAGGATTAAACTTCAGTGAAAGCAGAAGTTATAGCTTTTCTCTTTCCTTCAGCTACATTTAAATTATTTTTAAGAGAATCTTTGATGGTTACTTCTAATTGTTTTGATGTCTCTTTTTTTGGGATGATGTAAGCATACAGTAAAATAAGAAAAATAAATAATTTCCAGGATTGAGGAAATTATATCATTTAAAAGATACTAAATTTTAGGCTGGGCACTTAGGTAAATGTTAGAGCAGGTGCTTAGTGCATAAAGGCCATGAGTTCAATACCCAACATCCCCTAAAAAGATAATAATGTGTAGACTTTCCAATTTTACATGCCTTTTTAGGCATGATCTGATTAAGTGATTGTCAATTTATCAGATAAGTTTATTTATTTATTTAATTTTTTGTTGTTGCTATACTAGGAATACATTGTGACACTTACAAAAGCTCTTACAATATATCAGATACATCGTAGTTGAATTCACCTTTTCCATCATTCTCCTTCAACCTCTTCCCTCATTTCTGGAATAGTTTCAGCAGGTTTCATTTTTCCATTTACATACATGTGTATATAATATTTCCACCATATTAACTCTCCTACACCTCTTCATTATGTTCAAATAGGTTTAAATATTCAATAATTTACAAAGCAATGTAGTAAATATCATTTGAATGTCTGAAATAGAAATGAGTTCATCTATCCTTTATACTTATGCTCTGGGTTTTTTGTTCTGTTTAGCTCTTTTTATTGGGGTTTGAACTCAGGGCCTAGACCTGAATCACTCCATCGGCCCTTTTTAGTGATAGGTTTTTTAGAGACAGGGTTTTGTGAACTATTTGCCTGGGCTGTCTTCTAACACGATCCTTCTGATTTCTGCCTCCTGAGTAACTGGTATTATAGGTATGAGCCACTGCTGCCCAGCTATGTTCTGGGTTTTATAATTGAAACGCTACTCAGTTCTGTATCCCTAGCCTTTTATTCCTTTTAATCATTTCCAGTCAATGCATCTTATCCTCTGAATTATATTCTAAAAATTTACTCCATTATAATATTTGAGTTGTTGATAAAAATGAGTTCTATGTGAAGAATGGAGGGAATATTCTTAAACATCTCAAGTGAAATCTTACTGACATTAAGTATGGCTATCTACCATAATATGTGGACAGCATATGGTATTCAAAAGAAACTATATTTTATCACCAGACTGAAGAGGCAACCCACAGAATGCAAGAAAATCATTGTCAGCTATACATCAGACAAGGGATTCATAACTAGAATATACAGGGAGCCCAAAAAGCTAAGCTCCCCAAAAACTCAATGATCCAATAAAGAAATGTGCAAATGAACTGAACAGAAATTTTTTGAAGGAAGTAGTAAGAATGGCCAAAAAACCAAAAAACAAACAAACAAAAACACCATGAAGAAATGCTTACCATCCCTGGCAATGAAGAAAATACAAGTCAAAACCACATTAAAATGTTAGAATAGCTATCATCAAGAACACCACAAACAACAAATGTTGGCAAGGAAATGAGGAAAAAGGAACCCTCTTACACTGTTGGTGGGAATGCAAGCTAGTTCAACTATTATGGAAAGCAGCATGGGGGTTCCTCAAAGAGCTAAAAATAAAAGTGTCAGCCATACCACCCCTCAGCATATATACCTAGGAATGTTAAGCAATAAAGACACTTGCACACCCATGTTTATTTTAGCATTATTCACAATAACCAAGCTATGGAAATAGCCTAGATATTCTACAACAGATGAAAGAATGAAGGAAAAGTTATATAAACACACATAATGGAATTATTCAGGCATTAAGAAGAATGAAATTGTGCCATTTGCAGGTAAATGAATGGAACTGGAGATCGTCCAGTGAAATGCTAAGTGAAGTAAGGAAGGTTCAGAGAGATAAAGATTGCATGTTTTCTCTCAAATGTGGAAGATTGTTCTAAATACAAACACAAGCATTATCATTAAAAAAAAAAAGAAACTATATTTTCCTCCTCTGAAAAATGAGTATAAGTTTTTATAACAGTCTTTGAATATTGGTTAATGTCAAATACAGCAAGTCATTGAGCCATAAGAAAAGACATTTTTATTGAAACAAACTAATTAGCAATGTACATCCAAGGGAGCTGGAATATATTAGAAAATAGCTGCTCAGTTCACATGGAAAAGGCATGTGTGATGTTACTGGCAGGGGATTTAGGATTTCTAATATTCCCGAGGTGAATCAAGTGACCTAGCGGCATGCTAACCATGTCATATAACTTAGAAAATAGCTCTTAAATGCCAACAAAGCTGCATCTGATATTTGCCAAGAGACAGGTGTTGTTGCTGGTAGATAAAATGTATACCACAGCTTGAAACCTATGTTTTATTAGTGGTACCTAAGGAGAGCAGCAATTTTAGTAACTAATGGAATCTCTATTTCTTTTCATTCCCCTGACTCATACATAGGTGTTAAATCTTCAGACTTATGCCAAAAGAATTCAACTTATACTACACATTTTAATTAGAGCCATTTTCCTTTTTATATAAAGCAATTATTTTTGCATAGAGCAGTTATAATTACTATACTAAAAGATGCTTGAGAATAAATGTGAACGTAATAAACTTGTGTTTCTTACAGGCATTCACCTACTCATTCTGGATATTTGCATGGTTTTGCCTTATTGGGCTAATGATGACTAATGTTTATAATGAGGCAATTAAAGAAATTAATGATTCAATTTAGCATCAGTTACTATTTATGATGACTCTTTTGTCCAGTGTTCAAATATGACTCTTCCATTGGGGTTGAATATGTTCAGTGTTCAGGAAAGCTGTTGAAAATAAGTTTGTGAAAACTGTGCAATAGTAATGTAATATTCCCTGGTTTTGTGCTAAATGTGACACAAAGCAATTAAGTTATCCTTAGACCCAACTCATCAGAATTAATTTCTTAGAGTTCCAGAATTCATCATTAAAGAGTTACTCAACTCCAATATTGTACTTGCTTGACTTCCATTTAGCATTGCAATCAGAGTCCACTTAGAAAATAACTGTTTCCTTTAAGAAGCCTCTTATTATTTTTAATATTTAGTTATCTTAAGGAATACATGTCCTTATGTATTTTAGGAACATAACTACATTGCAACATTTGCACACTTAATTTTGATAGTGTCTATTTTTGTTCTGGAAATGTATCTGAGAATATGTTGATAATATATGTGACCATTGAAAATATTTTATTGTGTATGGTTTTGTGAAATACAAGTTTTCTTTGGAAGGTCATGAATCTAGTATGAGAATGGGTTCTACAAATCAAACTGGTGAGGAAAATTTTTTCTGGGTTTCCTATTCAATAAGTCAAAGAAACAATGATTCAAAGACAACTATATAAAAATCAAAGTAATTTGTAGCTTATAAATTATTAAAATTCTTTAAATTTGGAACTTTTAATGTAGATAGTATGGAGATAGAGAATCTTTTAACACATTGATTGTTCATGTTAACTTCACTGTTTCTCTCCTTTAGGGTGTGGTCAGGCCCACTGGGGGATATGCTGTAATGCTAAACTGGACAATGTCCTCGATTTATGGACTTAAACCTGGAGAGGTAATCAAGGTTTTAAGTTTATACTACATGACATTTATCTGATGAAGACATGTATTGCAGCTGAGTGTAATTCACTCTGTAATTCCAGCACTCAGGAGGTTAGGTTTGGAGGATCATGAATTTGAAAACCTCCTGGGCTATGTAGCAAGTGCCTCCTTGAAAAAAAAAGAAACAAAAAAAGGAAAAAAAAGAAACAAAAGAAAAAAAAAGGACATGTACATTGTATTTCCTCTTTTCTTTTTAGGTATGGTGGCAGCTTCTGACTTAGCTGGGTTGTTGGACATTCCTATATTTGTTATGGACCTCTTCTCCATGGAATACCACAGTTCTATATGAGGTAACAAAACAAAAGTAATACCATATGTACTTAATCCTTATATTACTAAAACTTTTTGAAAAACAGTCTTGGGGAGGAATAGTAAAATTTGGATGGTGATAGGGAACATTTTTATATCTTCGTCCAGTTAAAAGTATGGAAGCAAAAGAAAGGGATATGTAGAAAATAATAACAAGTTATTTGAATTGAATTGAAGAACAGAATTAGTAAAAAAATAAATTCTGAAGAATATACAATAACAAGATTAATATCTTTCCCTCACAGATTTCTAGGAAGTAATATCAAACTGATTCTAATTTCAGAGTCCTAGAAAAGAAAACTGACATCCTAAAACAAGCAAGATAGATTCAGTTTTTTGTCTTTATAGAGGATTAGTGGATTTCCAAAGGTGTTTTTTTTTTTTTTTTAGATTTTACCTAAGTATTTCCCATGGTTTCTGATAATTACTTTATATACAAGGGAGAGAAATATAGACTTGCCACATTCATGGCTGAATAGGTAACCACTTGAAGATTCTGGCACATGCATTAATGTCATCCTGTAATAAGGTTTCTATGTATACATTGAAAAATTTCCCTCATATGCCTATTCTCTTTAATTTACATGAAAACATAGATAACATATTCATCAGATTTGTGGGAGATTAAAATCTTAGCAAATCCATTAACAAATAATGGTAGTTTACTAAATTATTATTCAAGATGATCCTGGGATTTTTGAATAAAACTAATAATATGTAAAAATGTAGAAATATTTACATTCTTATATTTAAATAAAATATAATGCAGAAATGAAATAGGAGAAACTTGTTTTTGTTGTAGTTTATGCATTAAATCCCTAGGTATTATAACTGCTCATAATTCAAATCAGTTGTTGGTAGGGTTGTTTTTAAAAATACTCATCATAAGCAATGATATAATATTACTTTATTTGTCCATCTTTGTAATTTGGGTTCAGTTTAATGAAGAGCATAAAACAACATTAACTGATTAGAATGCATCTGAAAGAAGGAGTCCAAGATGAAATAATACCATACAAGAAAAAAGAAAGGGAATCTTTATTCCAAAAAATATATTGAATGTGTATCTGTCATTTGTATATTTTGATGATTAAAATATATGACTGTTTAAAGTAGGTCCTCTTATAATGCAGTTATGGAGAGTTATATTCTTTGGGAATATCAGTTCAAAATATCTGGCATAGTAGTAGAGTGGGCAGCTTCCCAAAAGCAAGGCTCTCTTTCATATAAGTTGTCTCTCATTGTCAAGCAAGGAATATCACATGAAAATGTGGGGTGTGGAGAGAAGAATTGGGTGATGTCAAGGTTCTTTACAATATTAATAGTCTGCTACTCCATGAATATGCAGAACACGAGCAACTGTTCTCTGTCTTCATGAAATGCTCTTGGTTGCTTCACAATGTAAAGACCCCTGTTCCACCATTGTTAGCTGTCCGGTTTTCTGTCTCTGAATGCCAAGAAATACTAAAAGTGATACAAGTATTGAAGCATCATGCACCACTCCACATCTCTTGTACTGCATTTTGGTGCCTTGCAGACTTGATATGTGTTTGGATGTTTGGGATAATTACAACATGAAAGAATCTTGACACATCTGTTCCATACTAAAGTCTTTGTAAGAGAATAAAGGTTTTTACTAAGATAATTATTCCTCTTCAAATAAACAAAAGAAATCTCAATATTGGAAGCTTACATTGAGTTGGGACATTGCTAATGTAAATGTGACAATGCAGAATTCATCCCAATATTTATATGTATTTATATTTATAATTATTAGGTTGACTTTACAATTGAGATTCCTACAATATTTGTGCTGCTTACCATTTGGCTTTCTGTTGTTTCTCAAGTTTAAAACATAATGCTAACATTATTGGGGAAGGTTGGTTCATTGTCTTTATCTTGGAATGATGTGCTCAAGAGTAGTGTAGAGATTCTATAAATATTTGTACAAATGACTAAATAAAGTAAGCAACATTTTAAAACCTTTTTTACTGCACTTTCTTTTCTACACCTTATAAATGTTCTCAAGTCTATCTGATCACAAAACAAAGCCTTTTTAGAACCTGCTTGTAGCTGTTAGACATTTTTAAGCTCCTTGAAAAATGATCCTACCCAAATTGTCTGAACATATTCTTCCATTCACTCCTCCTCTAACTGTAGTCTGGTTTCAGTCCACATCACTGCATAGAGGCTGCTATAGTAAAGGTCATAAGTGACTTCATAAGTGGAAAAGTCAGAAAGCCTTCTTCAGTCTGATTTTATTTCCTTTCTCAGTGGTCTCCGGGCATGATGATTATTCCCTTTAGAGAATTCTATCTTCTTTCTTGTGCTCCATTTCCCTTTGCTATTCATGTAGTTTCTTTTGCATGGTGTGACTTTCTCCTTGTTTTTCCTTACCTGGTAAGTTTCTACTATCCTTGAAGATTCTACTTACAGAATATCATCTCCTCAAAGTTCTCTCTTGTGGTCTTGGGCTGCATCCAGTGCCCTTTTCTGTGGCCCATTGTCTATTAAGCAGATGTCCATCCTTGAGTTGGCCATCCTGTACCAAAATGATCTGTTTGCATATAGAAAAGTCTAAAGGCATCTAAAGCTAGTTTTTAGCATAGTCGTGAATAATCTTGGAATTAAAATAAAAATTTCTCTTCATTCTCTGAGAATTTCATATCAGTTTTACTCTTGGTTTCTCTTTCTTTGGTCTTACATATTAGGGTTTAATAAGGTCACATTCTTAGCCTTATCTTCTCATTCTGCTTGTATTTTGTAGAAATATCCTTGCAGATAGATTTAACTGTTACTAGTTAAGTCAAAACTTCCAAATCCCTTTTCCATATCTGACTTTTTTTTGGAGTATCAATTTACTGTGAGACATCTCTGCATGGCCTACATACACTTTATGCCAAGATGGCAAGAACTGAATTTTATGAGTTTCACTCTTCCTGACAAAACGTACTTCCATCCATGCACTTTGTAGCTTCACTGATGCTACCCAATCCATGCAATCATCCAAGTACATATCTGCAAGTGATTCTAACTTCATTAATTTTATGTAATTAAAGTAGTGCTGAAAGAATACTTATAGCACTAAATGGATACATTAGAAGGAAGCACAAACATCAAATCAAAGTCTAAGCTCCCATCTTAAGGAACTCACAAAGGAACAAAATAAATTCCCAATAAGAAGAAAGAAAATAATAATCTATATACATTCCTCTATAAACTTTAAATTATCTCCAGATTACCTACAATAACTAACACAGGGTTAATACTATATAAATAGTTGTAATACTGAATTGTTTAGGGAATGGTGATAAGAAAAATCTGTATGTGTTCAGGATAGACAAATATTTTTCAAATATATTTGATTAACAATTATTTGAATATATCAGTGCAGAACACGGAGATGTGAAGAGTTGACTATATTTACTGTTATTTGTGTACTTCTCATAGGGTTGCCTTTTTGAAAGCATATATATATATATATATATATATATATATATATATACACACTTCAGTGTGATCACGATTTTATTTCCATGCTTAATGCTTTACAGTATTTCAAAGGCATAATGCAAAGTAGAAAATGAACTGGTGTCTAGGACAATATTTTTTCTTAGTAATGAATCCCAACTTAACAGAAATTGATGTTCTAAAATACTAGCAGATCACAATTCATTATCTAACAAGTCATCTGGAGTACAACAGCCAGTTCATAAAAAAACACCACTTTTATGGAATGCAAATAGCTCACGATATTTTGAGTGAATAATGAATGAATCTTTTTTTGCTTGACAAAGATAATTTCTTATATTTTGGAATTTAATGAAATTTCTAACTACATACAGTTGGAAAGACCTCAACAAATGGTTAGCACTAAGCTGGGCATTCAGTTTAACATCCAGACACGAGAATTGTCTGCTCAAAACAAGCTGTGATTCAACATGAAAGAATACAATGGAGATTTAATAAGATTTTTTTTCTGCCATAAAAAGACATACAGCTGTACATTTGTAGGGTGAAAACACATCAGAAATCCTCACTTTCTGCCTTGTCTTTAGCATCCTTGTGACTTCCGCATTGTAAAATACATTCATAGTTCTCTCATTAAGATGAACAAATCAGCCTTGATTTTCTTATCTCTTTGCAGCAACATCTCTGTCTTTGAAGGCTTGTCTGTTTAGAAACCTAGAACTTACTATGTAATCCATTCCAGTTGGCCTCTCTCACAATCATTCCACAATAACACCTTTTATAATATCATCATTCATCTCTTTTTTCTCCCCCAAGCCACTGAACATTTTCAGTCTCATCTTGCATCCTCATCTTGCCTCACATTCTCTCTAATCACTTAGCAAATGTTGCCAGTCATCCTCGACATTCTCTCTAAATCACTTGCTTTGTTTCTTAGGCACAACACCTTCCTGTTTCTCTGCAGTTATTCTTCATAGTTCATTCTAGCCACAGGAATTTTTCCCATTTGTTGTCTTTCCCTGAAATATATGCTTCTTCTCTTCCAACTCTCAGCTCAAGTGCACTTCTTTGACCTCTCTGATGAGTTTCAATCTTGTCCTTTTATTTTACAATCCCTCAGCACCTTGTTAACTTTTGGTGGCTGTGGTGCCATCTAGTAGGGAGTCATGTGAGTTTGTTAGTTAGTTCTGGTATGTTTGCTTGTCTCTGTTCTTCCTCTAATTCTTACTAAGGAAGCGAATCATCTCAATTTTGTGCCATAGCATTCAATTCTCAGCTCCAAACTGTGTTATTCACAAAGTATTTCAGTTCCCAGTAAATATTTGCTAAATAAATGCCCTAATGAAGATATCAGAAAAAATCTGGATTTTAGAGTAGTTTTATGAAATAACTTAAGTAGAAACAGGTGGCTCTACCACTGATCCATACTCCAGGCCTTTTGTTTTGCGTTATTTCGGAGATCAATTCTCAAATTTTTTCCCAGCCTGGGCTGTAGACATGACCTATTTTT